GGTTATGTCAATCCAACACTCAATGAGGTTTAGATGTATAAATTTATTCTATTAAGAATAAAACCTGTAATGAAATAAAACAACAATAAGACATCACATTACAAAACAAATATTTTACAAGACAAACACATTTCACAAAATACATAATACAAAATATTATACAACAATTCAAATTACAATAAACATGATATCACAAATAAATAAATATATACATATATACATACCAGGCTTGATAGAAGAGATTCTTCAAATAAATTAATTGAATATAAAATACAAGCAAGTGTTTCTATAGAGAAATAACTGAAAGTTATTAATAAAGATGTTTTCACTTTGAGAGTCAAACAAGGAGTGGTAGGTTATTAAGAAATATTAGATTTCAGAACCAAATCATCTAAAAATAACTTGCATACCAAAATCAATCATTGCAAAACAAGTTCAATCACCCATAATAAAAGGACAAAAGACAAACATGAACACATAACACCACAAAAGATTTGGTTTGGCCTTTAAGGGAAATTACTACTGTAAACATTCTAAAAAGATAACTAGAGACTAATTTTAACCTTATCTATACAATTTAATTGAATTTTAAAGCTTTTACAGTTCCACGCCCCAAGTGTCTATGATAACGTTTTGGAAGTGTTGCATGTTTTGACCAAGGTAGTTTCCATTTAAAAAGCTGTTTCGTTAAGAAAAAAAAAACAATGACTACAAAATACCCGTAAGGGGATACAAAATTCCCAGGATCCTCCACACCAGGTTCCCCGTCATATCTTTCCTGTGTTAGAGTTATCTTTCCTTGTACTGTAAATTCAACATTGACCAAAGGATAGTTCATCTGTAGAACCCACGTGTCCATTATTTCCTTTATGTTTGTTATACTCCTGCCGTCAGCTATAGCTTGCTTTTGCCAGAAGATAGAAAACGAAAGTATATATTAATTGAAAATAAATTTAATAAAAGATTTCTAGCTAATATTTTTACAAGAGTTTTTATTTACAAAAATCTATCTCTCCGGCGCAATGATCAACGCTCTTGATTTTGTTGAATTCTTTTATAGTTCAGCGAATCAGACTTTTGTTTGTGTACAAATACTTATTGTCATAATATATCACTGTTTAAACTACCTACCACCTAACCTAACTTTTTCTTTTATTACCTCATCTGTTTCATTGCATATTAATGCTTACTTTCTTTTATCCCCTTACCATTACAAAACTGTTTTATTCTTTCTTTCACTACCTTAACACTTCAATACTAATTGTATGCATTACCTCTTCCATAGCAGAATAAAGATCATCATTAGTCACTGCTTTGTAACTGTTTTTCTTTACATATTTCTAAAAATGTAAATGAAAAGTTACAAATGAATGCGGCAAGTTGTTTTAAAAAGTAATTTAAATTATTTTCAAAATATCTTTTAACTTATTTTCATTTTTTAAAAAGTTTTAAAAATGTAGATTTTTATTTTTTTAGTAAGTCAAATGTAGAAGAACCTGTACGTTTGTATAATGAAAGTTTTGTGTTAAATACAGTTTGAAGTATACAGCAATCAAATGTTTCCTTAAAAGTCTGGTTTTGATATTAAAAATGAATATTCCAGCTTTATTTTATTTTTTTAAAAACGTAAGAATTCCCTTTTCTTATTTCTATTTTTCTGATATGAATGGCAATAGGAAATATCGTATCGACGTACTTTCATTCCGTTTTGAAATGTGTTTTGGCCAACCATGAAACTCAACATACGTATTACTGCTGCACCCTTGAAATAAAACAAAAGCCGGTTCTATTTATTCAAATAATGATGAGGATTTTGTAGATATATATCACAAATTTGAAAGCATGATAAAGCGCATCAGGTTTTGGAATCCCGGCTAAATAACAAATGGTAGAAACAACACATCAAGATATTAGATATAATACTAAAAAATGTAGAAATTATTTCTACTTGTACTGTCATTACTAATTATGTGTTAAAACTGGTATACCTTTAAGAGTTTGCTTATAAAATGTGGACCAAACTCTCATGCATGCAAACATACATACCTTTAGATATGCGATATCGTCAAATATATCTTTGGATATGTTCTTTGGTTTATATACAGGGTTGTGTAGAGGATGGGTAAATGTTGCAAGTCCATCATACCATAAAACAAATTGTACTACCTCTCTGATAAACAGGTCCCTCTAAAATAGAAGAAAAGTATCGAATTCTGCATATTGAACCAGACTGATGCACAAATAAAAGTTTCCCTGCATGGAAAAAGAATTTTTAAAAAAAATGCACTTCAGTTCAATGATAACGCAAACATAAATCAAATGCTTGTTACTGGATCTGTCACGTTCTTATCAACAAATGTACAGGATTTCTAGGAACACCTCGGTTATAGGTGATATAATAGCAACATATCGATCATGGGTATGATTTACAAATATTTTAAGTACGATTATTATGATATTTGCATGTCTTATAGATGTACTTGTCACGCAAATAATAATTGTTTTAATTAAAAGATAATTAATGTATAAAATAGATAATCAATTACCATTCCCCAATCGGGATGAACATTATCGACACCATAATACTCGTAATATGTTGCAAATCCTTCATTCAACCAAATATCATCCCACCAGTGAGTCGTCACTAAATTACCAACCCACTGTAATAATTGATTAAATCATTTAACACAGAGTGCAAAAATAAAAAGTTATATACATGTAATTAGATAAAAGAATAGAACATAACATTTTTTTAATAATTTACTTTAGTTAATCTCTACCTTTTTTCCAGTTGAAATGGCTTATCAGGTCGAGGTAACAAGTGGCCACCTTGCAGGTTTATCAACTTGAAAAAATAAAGAATTAAGCAATATCTAACTATATATACTTATAAAAAGATTTACCGTGTGGGCAATCTCGTGGGCCACTAGCCTTGCTGCAAACTGTACATACGAAGGGGAATCTGTGTCCAAATCTACCAGCATCACATCGTCGGCATATATTATAAGACCCCAATTCTCCATTCCACCCGCATAGAAATTTGATATCGCAATATTGTCTACAGTTTTGTTATAATTTATTATTGTACCAAATAACATAATCTTTTATAATTATATATGATTCACGGTTTATTTATATTGTACGCTTGTCTTGCTTATAATTATTTTAAAGCAACTAAAAGCGTCGAGATTCATGTTACAAGTTTATCGCAATTCAATATATTAGACAGTCCATCAACTATAGATATATATGGATTTTTAATGTTAGAACTGCTAAGTATTTATTATACACAAGTACAACCTAAATCATTTAATTTGTGTTTTGTTACTCAATGTTTTGTCAGTTTATGGTGATCGAACTTACAGCTATATCATCATACACCGTTTACATTTTTTTCTAAATGCAAGCAAAATATTTGGTACAATCTTTACCTTGCTTTGGAAGTGGGTAAGATATTTCGAAGTAATTTACAAAATGTTCTTGCAATTTTACACCTAGATCTAAAGCGAACGTTGTTTTATTGATAACACTAGGTTTTGACCATGTACGAAACTGAAAAAGATAAGAAAGAACGAAATTGAAATACACAAACAATTTTTTGCAAGATGCATAAGCAAGTAATGATCAAGCACTGATAATCATAAGTAAGACTGGTCGCTCAAAGAATTTCTGATGATACAAAAGGATAATTGCGGATTATTCAGTACTTTTTATTTAAGGTATGAGCCCCCTAACTGGCACTATAAGGAACTATAAAATTGACAACATAGGTCAGTTATTTACCTTAAAAGACACAAGAATGCAAAATTTAAAGAAAGTTTACCGTATGGTTTACGAGTTATGGAGATTTTTCTTAACTTAAACTTGGCTATTAAAATGGCTCTTTTTCAGAAATGAGAAACTATAAATATTCTATTTTATAATCATTATAAAAAAATGTTTTCCTATAGAACATTGTTAAGAAGCAAATAATAGCATTCAGCTAACAAATGACCCAGCAAAATTATTGTTTCTACTCAAAATGTTTGAAATATGTATATAAATGTTACCCTACCCTACCCATTCAAAGTGGAGGTAATGCATTAGGTGGATCATACCTTAAAACGGCTGTATAATTGAATTAAACTACAGACAAAGTTGAAAATATTTCAATGTTTTAGACTGCAAAATAAAGAGTAAGTGCACTATTAAATTCAAAGAATTCACAACATTTTAACTAACGAAAAAGCCACGAATTATAAATAATAATGTAGGTAAATTTAATTTTTGGCATCTATATTTTTCAGTTAAGTTTTATTTTATGCGTGCGTGCGTGTGTGCGTGCGTGTGTGTGTGTGTGTGCGTGTGTGCGAATAAAAGGGAAAATATAGTATTGAGTACTGTCTTACTGTGACATTATTTGCTGTCGTCTTTTCCAGATGCTCAAAGTTACCAACAACGAAAGCTAGAAGGTACACAGACATCTTTGGAGTTCTTCCAAATGTATCTGCTATCCAATCATTACCTCTAAAATATTCAACAAACGCTTTTGTCATAAAAAGTTAAGTACAACAATAAATCAGCAATATCAGTCGATTTACATGTTTTCATCTCAAGTTCAATACGAACATCTTGTTACTGGTATCGGCAAATTCCAAGCAAATATGAGATATGACTTGGTCTGTCAGTGCTTCTGAGGGAGAGATCATCCCTTTTATAAATTTTAGTATTTCAAAAACCTTTTCTTTCTAGTAAATTATATTTCCTATTAAAATTATTATTATTTAAAAAGCAAGGTCAGACTGGTATTTTCAAAATAACAAAACAAAACAACAACAACGACAACATAGAATAAGTACTTGACTTGATGGGCATTTATATTTTTCATTCTAAATACAATTTGAAATATAACAAAATTGCTCGATTTTCAGTAAGAGCACAGACTAATAAAAAGGAAAGGTACGAGATTGAATAAGCTTCCAGTATAGTATTTTGGGTATTTTAACGTTCACTGAGACTTAATAAATATATATACTGTTTAAGTACAGTGTTGTATGCCAAATCGCGTTTTTCATTCAAGGGTCATAACTCAGCCAACAATATTCAACCAGAAAAACCGTGTAATTTGCGCAACTACTTAAGGTCACGCTAAATTCTAAAACAAAACAACATTTAAATTAGTGGCATAAGAGGAGTAGACGGGGAACTACAAAAAAATCATTTAAGGGCCATAACTCTAACAAAAATCATTGAACCGGAAATTGCCCACTATGTGCACAACAAGATTTGGTACAAATCAATCCTTACAGAGTGGATGAAATTGCATCAGTAGTTTTTGAGGAGTATTCCGGACAAGTTTTGTGACGGAATGACGGACAGACAGACAGACGATTGAAACATGATCCCTACGTGTCGCCACTTCTCATTAGCAGGCGACACAAAAATGTCCTAAGAGATATGAAAAATGTAAGCACGGTCATCACCTATTTGTCGAATTAGAAAGTGGCATATTGGATAACGATGACACAGATTTCTTCCTAACAAGTGTAATGTCGTAGCGGGATTTAATCGCTGGTTCATCGAAGCATGGAAACGCTTTTCTTGCGGCTATTGGTTGAAACTGGGTTGCGGCAAAATACCTGTGATCAAATATTAGAATAAACTTTAGAACTTACTCGATAATTTGAAACCTGCAGAACATTTTCCCTTGATCATTTCAATTATACAGAAGCAAAATACTCTTAAATCAGAATCTTTTAAACTTTTAAAAAATGAGTTTGCATTAGAGCCACGTGCAAATGAACAACAGTTTGTCTTTAAGAATTATATCGTAAATAGAATTATATTTATTGATAAAATCATTAGATTGTAGACTTACTCTTTTTTACCTCCTTCCACATCATAAGCGTAAAAGAATCCATCAAAAATGGGATCACATAAAAAGCCATCAAATTTGTTTATGCTGAGCACGTACTTTTTACCCGCCTTAAGATATTGGTTTGTCAAGATGTATAAAAACTGTAGCTCTCTCTCAATCACATATTTCTTGTACAAGTTTTCTGAGCTTCCCTCGAGATTCACAACGATAGGTCCTGCATATAGAGTATATAACATTATACATAAAGTTGGAATATAATATCATTCTTCTTCAACAATTTATTCAGTTTACATTTTACATCCATTAAGCTGCATGCCTCTAAATGAGCTAAAATATTTCAAGATAATCAAATTTGAAAATAATGTACTAAATTTTACGAAAAGTAAAAAGATCAAAATTCAAATAATAATCAAAATGTTATCTGCAATTAATGCCTGATTTTGCAGAATTTTTAACACCATATTTCTACCACGTGACTAACGCAGTAAGGGCTATATTTGCTTATTTTGACGCCTTTATAATAAACATAGAGTTACGTTAGCAATGTGTAAATTTTAGATTTTAAATACATTTTCAAAAATATCTTGAAAACTAGCATGAATCTGAAAGCATGCTGCTTAAAGACAATCAGATAATTCTACAAATTATGACCTTTCGATTGTTTGTATACATTATAATTGCTGTTACGTGCTGTTATGCATTTATTATAATATAAAGGTATTTAAACTGTGATCCATCTTATATATACCTCATATCGAAGGAAGAAATAGCTTTTAGGGATGATGTATATGTCAACAAGACACACACTTTTAAATTGAGAGCGTTCGCGTAACGTACATCGAAATGTCGAGTTGTTAGTCTTAATGCGGCAATCATTTCCGACGAAGATTATACGGGGACAATTAAACTACTCATATGAGTACAAATTTGTTGAACATACATCATTTAACACATTCAATTGGAATAAAGCTATATTGATTTGAAATGACACATATGGAGCTTTGTAGAAGCAACTAAAACTTAAGACGTTTTTACAGCTAGATTGTGAAACGTGTACAGATAAACAATAAAATACAGGTAGGAAGAAGACTTTTATTTTAACAAAACGCAAATGTGCCGCGTCACGACAAAACCAACATAATGGGTTTGCGACCAGCATGGATCCAGACCAGCCTGCGTATCCGCGTTTTGTCGTGACGCTGCTCAAATGTTTCAGTGTCCTAAAGCAACATAACAAGCGCTTACCGTCTAAAGACAGCCCATCTATATTTAGAGTTATAACACTTGTGTCGATCAAACAATTCATTTGTATCGTCACAGAGCCACTCAAAGTAAAATCATCAGGAGTCGTATTATTGTAGATGTCAGGTTGTAATTCGATAGCATAAAGTAATGGGTCAAAGTCCTGTGGTAGGCGAACTACGTAATCCTTTGATTCTAAAAGAAAATAGTTCAATGTGGACGTAAATATCATCTTAAGCACTTTCTTCTAAAAAGTATTCCTCTCTGTGTTGGCTTATTTTAAAGAAACACAACATTGTTTGTGTCTTATGCAAGTTTCCCAGCCCTCTCCAGACGACATATACTTCATGACAATAACCTTTATATATATACATTTATAAAACCCCAATAGGTCAAATCAGGCAACAAATAGTATTCACATATGAATATATCTGACATTCCTATCACCTTAGTTCTACGTATAATGACATTTAACATAAAGCTTAAACTTTAATCCAAACAATGCATTGCCATTATCTAAATGTCTTTACAAAGTGAATTATTTATTTAAAGAGATTGTAAACCGCTTAAATATGATACAAGAGGCAACGCTATAACTTCAATATATTAAAGGCGTTTTGTTACGATGTATGAAGCTGGCATATTTTGTCATTTAAGAGATCTATATATCCGTTCTGTCATTTTTACGGGAGACTCATTCTAACATTCTGTCATTTTTTACTAATATAATTTTGTTCTTCACATAATCTTAAATTTGTTTTAGTTGGTACAAGTATGCATAAAATATGTTAACCAAACGATTCTCACGTTATATTTCAAACTTGGATAAACTGTCTGACACTGTCTGCATAATGAGAATTTAATATCGAACCGCTTTTTCAACAAAGAAATTATTTGATAAAACACCTCACGCTGTTCACAACAGTTCTGTACTTAGCTTGTAAAATAATTATACGTTCTTAAGTAATAGAAGTAGCTATTGTTTTATTATATTTAACAACTACTCACCTATTGCTGTACATTCTGTTGTTTCCCATTTACGGGACTCTAAGCAATTAAGAACGGTTTTGTTTGAAGTGTATCCCTGGAAACAGCTCACGTCAGCCCGAGCCCCAATGTCTGTACTGCTGTTAGACAAAATAACATTTGCGTTGTCAATATCCGGAGCGGTTCCACATCCTGAAAGAAAATATAATACATATATCACGTAACACAGAAATACATCATAGATGCGCGAAAAATCGATACATTATGTCACTTCCCGTTATGTTAAAGATCTAGACGGCCTGCCTTATCAAGGTGTTGACAGCGGTCATCTTAAAAATACTTTGTTTAATCATTATAGCATTACATACTCGTACGCACGAGTAGCAAAATGGAAAAATCCAGATTTAACGAGCTATTTACGTACTGACTATTGATATTGGTAGTTAGTAGACAGTTGTAAGAAGGTAATATATACATGTTGAGAGCTTAAAGAAATCATATGACTACCACAAAAGGAAACTGAGCAAAATGTGCTTCTACACTTTCTATGTGCGTTTTCCCCTTCAAATTCCTATCTTCACCTTGTCGTTACATTTATTGTCCTCTTCCATTTTTTTTGCCCCTCTACCCCTTCCTTAAATACCTACATCCCCTTCTTACTACAAATTGTTACATTTATAGTTAAACTTAAGCTCCCCTATTGTCCCGTATGTCAACTGCCATTTGGTGCCAATTTGTTTGCCGTTGGTTTTGGATATTGTTGTAAACTTTGCTCTCCCTTAATGACTTTTATTTTCATATTTTACAGATATGATTAAAATCTACACAAAATATGGTAAACAAGATCAACAAGGAAAGGCGGCGCCCAACGAACGCAACCAAAATCTGTCAATAAACTTCAGAAAAAAATAATATCGCTTGTGAAATGTAATGTGTTCAGATAAATATATAAATGCATCAGTCTATAAAGTTATATGATCTATCTGAAGTTATGAAAATATATGATATATATGGAGTTAAATGAATCAGGCAAAAGTTTGAACTTTTTTTAAATAAAAGACAATGACAACAGTATACATGCCTGTACTTTGTTTCCTTCTCTTTTCTTTAAACTCATAACGCTGCTGATATAATATACACAGTTTACATTAAAAATTTTGAAAATCAACGCCTTACATCCTGTTTTTTCATATTTTTTATTTTTCTATTCATTTATCTATTTTTATTTTTACAAATAAATGGTTTTTATTCATATCCGATTTTAACTTTGTATTCATTAACAAAATACTTGATAAATTACCTATTACTTCGCTGTCCTCCACAACCTAGAAAAAAATGTAAACACTTACGTAATATATTAAATGTGATAACATCTGCACTACTATTAACAATGCTTTTTTAAAAATTTCTTTTGGTAAAACATTCTGGAAACAGATAGTGACTAATTATCTTCTACACAAGTTTTTGAATCTCCAACGTTTCGAGGGGTTAAACCCCTCTTTTTCAAGGAGTTTCTGTTTATTTTTATAAATCACATGTTTATTTTTGTGTACGATAAGAAGATAAATATATGATTTAGAAGAATAAACAGAAACTTCTTGAAAAAGAGGGATTTAACCTCTCGAAACGTTGGAGATTGAAAAGTTTGTGTAATTGGTAAATGGTCAGGAAATTCGTAGTATAGTTATTAGAGCATGCATATTAAATTGAAATGAAAGCATTTTATTTTATAGCCATACACTTAGATAGCAAACTAAATAGACATGCTTGATAGAATAGATTAAAAAAATATTTCAAAACGGTTCTGATTGGCAATAAAGCTGAGACATTTTGTAAAGAAGACAACTAGCACTTCATTTTCGTTTTGTAACTTTTATAAATTAAGTCACATGCAGAACTACTTTTGTCACAAGATTGGCATATAACTTGAAATTTGAAACTTGCTTATTTGATTAAACATATAATTCTAGAAATACCTCAATGGTTATGCACAGTACATTAAACTAATATAAAATCAACAGCAATACATATTTTTTATAAAACAAACGATAATATCTCCAGACAGATATATGCATTTATTTAACAAGTAAAATGCAATACTGTGAAGGTAAAAATAATTAGTTAAATGGCTTCTAAAAACATATAAAAATGTCTAAAGATAAAATATTTGTGTCTTAAGTCATTTAAATATACGTATTATAAAATAAATGTTTGCCTTTTCTTATTCAACTCTGAGACTGAAAACGCCTTGAAACGGTAATAGTCTCGAAACCGCATTGTATTAACTATTGCATTACGCTACAACAACTTCCTTAGCTTATTCATTGGTTTATTGGTAAGTTATAGTTCACACAAAAGTCGAAAATGATCATAGTTAACACTGAATGTGAGAAAAATATGCTTTTATCAGATACAAGATTTCATACAACAAAAGCAAACTTGCTGTATTTACGTAAATAATTCTTAATGTTAAACTCTTCAAGCAACTGATTTAAACAGTCATTTTATATCAAATTTTAAAGTTCTAAATCTTTTATTCTAAATACAATGATACATTTGATCATTATATTATTTTGTAGCGTTCTTACTTTCTTTATGGCACTGCTGTAGTACGATAGTCTAAATCCTTTGATGTTTTTATTGCTGCACTTTTTGTTGACGAAAGATGATCCCGTGAGGTACCATTTTGACTGATATTTACAGACTACTGGGGATCCGTTGTCAACCTAAAACGATAAATGTTATAGCTTAAGTAGTGAATAATGAATAAGTATTAAATCGTTTTACCATCAAATATATTTTTAAAGCCTAAAGCCAAATGCAGAAATAAGAAAGCACTTGTAGTATAAATGTTAAGCAGTCAATTTGTTTGTTTTGATTTCAAAACGTCGCAACGAATTGTTTAGGGAATATAGCAATTTTCTACAAATTCAGGAGAGATATAATGCACGAGGAGAATCATCTAAGAAAAACATCGATATTGGTAGAAAATAAAAATGTTTATGAACATTGACTCTTAATAGATTTAACTTTTCTAAATATATATTTCAGATGTTTTGAATAAATTAGATTATTTAAACTACTACGTATGTGAATATATCAAGCATTAATCCATCTGCAAGCCTATGATATATCATCATTTCATCTTAGTGCTTTTGAAATATATAATAGCTACAGAAAATGGCGATACTGATGGAAAATTTAGAACTTACTTTAAAGAAATTTATCTTCGAAAAACTTATTTCTCATAAAAGTCTCCTTGTTAATTACAACACCCTAAAATGCAATGAGTTATTAAGGAAAAGGAAATGTACAAACGCTTAAAACTCGAATGAGCAGCTTACCTTACAAACAGATCCTGTTTTCGTACCAAAACAAAGCGTCCCTTTCCTTTTGCATTTGTTCCACTTTAACGTAACTGCTACCTCACTTTGACGCTTCCCATTTTCTTGAAAACAACAAAAAAACATACTGATATTATGTCATCTAGGAATGCTATTAAATAAGCATGTATCGGTGTTTTGTACTGAGTTGAGTGTACCTGAATTACCTTTCAAATACTTGAGAGTGTTTAACTTGAAATGTTCACTTTCCGATATTTACATTTTATTAAAAAATATCATCCCATTTAAATACAGAAATACGGAATCCCCAATCTACAACATAAACGGTAAAATTGAAAATATTGAAAAAAGTAATGGAAAAAACATGCTTTAAACGTTTGGTGTTTCGAAATAATTTTTTTCAATTATTGGTTGCAAACTTTTATTGATAATAATAAAATGAGCAGACATCAATCAAACAAAGACTGTATGTTGTGTATTTCAGTTACGGAAAAGGACCGTCTCTAGAGCTACACGTATATCGATTTTATTTAATATCACGGTACTTACCAGTAAAGCCAACTGCTTTGCAATTTGTCATTTTCTTGTCAAGTTTCAATGTACTGAAACGATCTAAAGCTGTCACCTTATCATTGCTTTCATCAATTTCCTTGTTCAGTTCCAACATTATTACATCGTTATTTTTCTTGTCTGGAATCTGAAAAACATTATAGCATACAATGTTATTCAGTTAAAAAGTGTTACTGATGTTTACAAGATGTGTTAAATTAAAATAAAGTACTGACAATAGAAGTATGGCAAGATATAATTAACACAATAGCCGTTGTACCGAGTTGACCATTGTCTTATTCGCTTGACATCAGGAAAACACTTGTCAATTACAAAATATTTAGTCTAAAATGTATATATCATTACTTCTCAATTATCAATAATGAACGCCAGGAAATAAAGCGTGTCACTTTTATGTTTTATAGACTAATGATTCGTGCACATTGTTTATTGTTTTATGAAAAGCGTTTTACTATTTCATGCTTCGAAAAACAGTAACAGTAAACACTATAGCTACAATATCATCAAACACAAACAGATGACTGAGTGAACTATGTACCGAAGGTTTGCTGCTCCTTTAACTTCGGAACACCTCGTCGATTATTCCTAATTTTAGCTTATCCGGAGACTGACGGAAATAGCCGATATGATGCTATTGTTCGCAGACTAAATTCTACCAATCAGAAATGTTTACTTTTTTATAATTATCTACTACACAAACTTTTCTATCTCCAACGTTTCGAGGGGTTAAACCCCTCTTTATCAAGGAGTTACTGTTTATTTTTATATAAATCACATATTTATCTTCTTACATGTCTTATCTTTAACTATGTTATGCATACAGGAAATGACGTCGTTGACGTCAACAATAAAAATTACGCAAAATATGATGATGACGTTTTCCGTCAAAATTGTTCCACTGCATAACGTTGCTCCCCTTATTTAATATTATTTATAATATTACCATAGCAAGAATTATGAAACTTATTTCATTGAAAATACATTAAAAATAATAATAATAATTATTATTATTAAAAATTTTTCTACTAAAACATTCCAATAATATTTACAATAAAAAAATAATTTAATAATAATAATAAAAATAATAATAGTAATAATCATAATAACAATGGTAATAATAATAACAATGGTAATAATAATAATAATGATAATGATAATGATAATAATAATAATAATAATAATAATAATAATGATAACAACAATGGTAATAATACTAATGATAATGATAATAATAATAATAATTACAACAATAATAATAATGAAAATAATAATAACCATGATGATAATAATAATCATAGTAGGAAATAACCATAACAATAATAATAAGGAAAAGAACAATGGTAATAATAATAACAATAATGGTAATAATAATAATGATAATAATGATAATTATAACAATAATAATCATGAAAATAATAATAATCATGATAATAATCATAGTAGGAAATAACCGTAATAATAATAATAATAACAATCATAATAATAGTCATAATAATCATAACAGCAAATAACCGTAAACTTAATAATAATAATAATAACAGCAATAATAATAATAAAAGGTATAATAATAATTATAATAGTAATAATAATAATAATAATAATGACAAGCGACACGTGATAAGCAGTGTCTAACTAAAATTACCATGTTTTAGTAGTTAGAAAAATATAATTGAAAATTTTTTATAAATTAGATTGCAACAACGCAGTTTTACAAAAATACCGATGAATGCAATAATAACTGTCATAATATACTAACTATCAAAACAATAATAATATTGATAAATCCTTAAGTGCATATCACTATCAAATCATCTTATGAAAAATAATAACAATATCAACAACAATACCAGCAAAGTGATTATGACGGCAACAATGATAATTATAACTCTTATTTTGTTTTGATATTTAGTCCAATAGGTGACCATGTTTGTAATTTATTTATCCAAAATTCTTCACGGATCCGTCGGTAGATTGTACTTTTATTGTTATTTATTGATTCGATGATGTTGAATTTTATGTCATTTTCTGAATGGGCTGATGAATTAAAGTGGATAGACACAGGTTTGTCTCTGAATGCCCTAATATAAAATTCAACATCATCGAATCAATAAATAACAATAAAAGTACAATCTACCGACGGATCCGTGAAGAATTTTGGATAAATAAATTACAAACATGGTCACCTATTGGACTAAATATCAAAACAAAATAAGAGTTATAATTATCATTGTTGCCGTCATAATCACTTTGCTGGTATTGTTGTTGATATTGTTATTATTTTTCATAAGATGATTTGATAGTGATATGCACTTAAGGATTTATCAATATTATTATTGTTTTGATAGTTAGTATATTATGACAGTTATTATTGCATTCATCGGTATTTTTGTAAAACTGCGTTGTTGCAATCTAATTTTTATTTTTTTTTCAATTATATTTTTCTAACTACTAAAACATGGTAATTTTAGTTAGACACTGCTTATCACGTGTCGCTTGTCATTATTATTATTATTATTACTATTATAATTATTATTATACCTTTTATTATTATTATTGCTGTTATTATTATTATTATTATTAAGTTTACGGTTATTTGCTGTTATGATTATTATGACTATTATTATGATTGTTGTTATTATTATTATTATTACGGTTATTTCCTACTATGATTATTATCATGATTATTATTATTTTCATGATTATTATTGTTATAATTATCATTATTATCATTATTATTATTACCATTATTGTTATTATTATTACCATTGTTCTTTTCCTTATTATTATTGTTACGGTTATTTCCTACTATGATTATTATTATCATCATGGTTATTATTATTTTCATTATTATTATTGTTGTAATTATTATTATTATTATCATTATCATTAGTATTATTACCATTGTTGTTATCATTATTATTATTATTATTATCATTATCATTATTATTATTATTATTATTACCATTGTTATTATTATTACCATTGTTATTATGATTATTACTATTATTATTTTTATTATTATTAAATTATTTGCTATTGTAAATATTATTGGAATGTTTTAGTAGAAAAATTTTTTAATAATAATAATTATTATTATTATTTTTAATGTATTTTCAATGAAATAAGTTTCATAATTCTTGCTATGGTAATATTATAAATAATATTAAATAAGGGGAGCAACGTTATGCAGTGGAACAATTTTGACGGAAAACGTCATCATCATATTTTGCGTAATTTTTATTGTTGACGTCAACGACGTCATTTCCTGTATGCATAACATAGTTAAAGATAAGACATGTAAGAAGATAAATATGTGATTTATATAAAAAATAAACAGTAACTCCTTGATAAAGAGGGGTTTAACCCCTCGAAACGTTGGAGATAGAAAAGTTTGTGTAGTAGATAATTATAAATTAACTGTTTCCAGATAGAATTTAATACTTTTTTTATTTTACTCGTGAATTACTTAATATCAAATAACTGGTATTGTATACTTCTTGATTACGTGGATTGTCAAGTGACTGGTGGTTTTACAGCTGGTATACAATATCATTAAATCGGGGCGTTTCTGTACAATAACGTAGTTTATATCGTTAATTATGATAATCGAAATATAAATAACCTTAACATATACATATCATATTAGTTTTTTTGTATTATATAAATGAAGTAACAAAATTGAAACGGGTATTAATTTAGAAAATGGAAATGTGTTAAGTTTTGTTGAAATCGATAAGCAGTTGCAAAGAAATAGCAATATTGCTTTATATGCATACTACATAACTAATCAAGGGTCATAACTCTGTAATGAAGGGTCTGGTCTGAACTAGGCAACAAATTATGCACATCTCATCTTGGTATTAGTGGTTCCTATAAAGTTTAATTAAATTCCAGCCGGAGATGTAGCGTGGAAACAATTATTGCCTTATATGCATACTGCATAACTAATCAAGGGCCATAACTCTGAGTTAAAGTGTCTGACCGAAACACGGCGATGATATACGCATCTCCTCTTGGTATTTAAGGTCCCCATAAAGTTTCGTTGAATTCCAGTCAGCAGTTGCAGAGAAGTAGCGCGAAAACGATTTTTGCTCTATATGCATACTGGTAATGCATAACTAATCAAGGGTCATAACTCTGAGTTTAAAGGTCTGACTGGAACAAGTCGACGATATGCGCATCTCCTCTTAATATTGACGATTTCCATAAAGTTTCATTGAATTCAAGCCAGTAGTTGCAGAGAACTATCTCGGAAACGAAATTCGGACGGACGGAAGGACGGACGAATGGACGGACGGAAGGACGGACGGACAACGCCAAAACAATTATATTTATGACGCAATAACCGTTATGGGATTTTAGTGAAGACTATTTGTTTGGTGCTGTCGTTCTTTTTAGAAATGATCGCGTATGCAACATTTCGTATAAGAATGTTAATATTCACATTCATTGTTTGTAAGCATAGGCATATGGGCCCCAATGATGGTCGAGCAGTTATTTTGAAATCGCAATTTAATATCTTTTGAAATTTTCAGTATAGTTTATTTCTGAAATTCGGTGTGAACTATTTGAAGTTTTCCTAATTTAAAAATGTTTTCAACTTTCTCCATCGGTCATGATCGTTTGCCTACGGACATTACATTTATGCTATTTGATTGTAACATAGTTAACAATTCTTATGACACTTGTATACCAACAATCGGAAAACAATCTGGTACTTTACCACATTTTGTTTTATTTCAATCAGAGAGAAACAAATAACCCGTAACAAACGTGTAAAACGGCAAACTTGAAAAGGCTGTACGCTCGGATTGAGACCGTAGATGTCGTTTGGCACTAAATGCAGACATAGATAACAGAAGCACTACAAGTTAAATATTGATGCTGCACATCAAAGACGTCGCCAAATGATGTGAACAGTCACAGCTAATGTACAAAATCAGAATTGAAAATCGTTATATATTACAGCTGAATATCCGAAGCACTAAATTATTTTTTTCTCCATGTTCTTGGTATTTGCCAGAAATGCTGAAATGTTTGTCTGTTGCAACAGAGATTGAAACGTCTGGTTGAAGCAAAATAAAATGGATAACAAGTAAAATTGAAATGATTGGTAAAATTAAAATAAATTCAAGACAATGTGTGCCGAGAATATGGCCATTTAAATATTGGTTCGAATTGCATAATGTTCGAATGATTTTGAGGACGAACTGTCTGTTATTTTACAAATAGCGAAAATATGTCTGTAATATCAAATAATAATTATGAATAAATTGATGTATATATAATCAATTCTTTGTTAAGTATTGTGTACTTATTTATAAAAGATTAAACTACTTGAATAAACAAAAGATTGCATATTCGCCTAGAATCTAGGTATGGTAAAATCTAGGCAAAAGAGAACAATCGTCGGTCAAAGAATCCTTCAAAATATTGCAAATATTTGTGATACGTTTTAAAATAAACGTACTTTTTCACTCAATTAATCTGTTTTATAACTTAAATGTTAATTATTTTAATGAATTACATGTCGCACACGTTTTGCCTGTTTTGCAAAAAATATTTCCGCTGCCACAATAATCTCCGTTGTGTATTTTAGTGATACCTCTTGTTCTCTGCCCGTCATTAGACTATAGAAGGGTCTGTGTAGAGCTAAGGGTTAAGGAAGAACGCCTCTCTGATAGTGGGCGTGGTTTAGGCTTTGTAACTCGTAATTTAATAATTCGTCAAGTTATATTGATCATAATTGTCCTGGTTTCCTCTTCCCACCCCCGTCAACGAAGACTAAACGCTAGCATATTGAATTTGGCGACAATTTAAGGGGGAGACGAACTTCAACAGAGGCGGAGCAAATGAAGTGAGTGACACTGCTTCAGTCGTTACCTCTCTCAACGGTTAAGCTTTCGAACGTTCGACTAAAGACTGGCTCATTGGCACGTCATTTATTATGTAGATAAAATAAGATAATAATAAAAAGAATATGATATTCAAACATGACACTACGAGTATCACTTCAGTTAAACGTTTATTTTAATCCCTTAAAGCTC